AGGCCAGCAGGAACCAAAAGGATTAAAATTCACTTGCTGTGCTTTGCTGTGGGTGACGTGTTCCTTCCGCCGAGCCACCTTTGACCCCATCGCGCCCCGGTTTTTCTGTTTGTTCACGGCTCTTTCCCACAAAAAACTGCCAAATGCAACAAGTGATGCCAAATTGCTGTTCGTAGCCCGCCGTATTCTTGAGACGAGCAAAAGCCGCCTGACAAGGGGGAAGTTTAAATGAAAATCTGATGGTGTGGGAATGTCAAATATCTCTCGATTTGCAAAGATTCATTCTACTGCTTGTCATTCTTCGCTTTATTAGTATTTTCCGCGAAACAGCGCCCGAGAGGATAGTTTTTGGGTGCGAGGCGAAGGATCGGGTGCAAAAAAGTGGTAAACTTGAAGGTCGGTGTAGCCTTTGAAACTTTTTGCATTGGAGAGAAACTTGTCGTGCGTTACGATTTTTAGCAATGAAAATCAGGGTTGAAAATGAAAAAACTGGAGCTTTTCTAGCTCGATCTTGCTGTAGCTTTTTCAAGATACAAATGAGAACCCTGTGAGATCAAAGATAAAATTTACATTGTCCGGCCTTTTTTCCGGTTTTTCGGCGAGGTTTGTTGAAATCACTTCCGACTCAATTTGCTAAAGAATGAACAACCGCAAAATATCTGGAACTGGTTCTGAATTTTAAACATATACAATTGTAGATTTGAAGCATCGTTTACGCTGTTTTTAGCCTGTTTTAATGAAAATTTAATACCATAAGGTTATTTATTAAACGACATAGCGCAACAAATCCTTGATCACTTGTGGAAAACTACGGAAAATTTGAACTTTCGCGCCTTGTTCGGGGTCCTCGCGCCGACAAAGTACAGCACGAAGTCCTCGTTGGGCGGGAAGTTGATGGTGGTGTTCTTTGAGGGCTCGAGTTTCACACTAAAATGCTCAGAGCGAAAAATTAATCCTCGCAAAACAGTTAATTATACAATGATCGAAAAACTGACTCGATCTTCTCCTGCGTCTCCCTGTTTCTCAGGTAGAATTGGTCACCGTCGGCTAGGACTCCGGAGACCCAGAAACTACTTCCCTTTTCGGTTGCGGAATAGTATTGGCTCCACACGTAGCTGAGGCCATCGGTGTTCTAAATAACGAATTATTTGGAAAGCGAAAGAGAGCGAGAGGGAGAGGAGTGAGAGAGAGAGAGAGAGAGAGAGAGAGAGAGGATGAGAGCGAGAGAGAGAGAGAGAGAGAGAGAGAGAGCGAAAGAAAACCAGATACTTTCGGATAAGTCAAGTCGTAAAGCAAGCCGTCGTCAGCTCCTCCGGTCAGATGATCGGGAATGGGGGGGAGGTAAGCTAAAAATATTCGGTATAGGGTTACATGTAACCAGAACCAGTTCATCTTGAACTTGATACACAAAATAATTCAAACCCACCACGATCATCCTTCAGCTCATAGGTCGAGAACATGGCCGTGAATTCGGGGGCGTCTTTGGTATATCTTAAGATGAAGAAATGGGGCCAAAGTTTTGGAAAATTTACTTGAAAATAACGAATGATGTTGGGGTGATGAACTCAATCTTTTTATCCTTGTTGCCGATGACCCTAAAATATACGTATTTCAAAATTCCTCAAAAACGATTAAAGGGATCAGCCAGTCCCAGGAAAGATTAGCATAAAACGGGCTTGAGCCCTATAATTAGCATAAATCTTCTCTGCTCCCCCATTAAAGTGAGGGAGCGGCAGGCCTCCTCAGATGTGCTTCTCCACATCCATGCCAAAAATCATAGGAGAATTCGGCCTGACGGCCGAGAAATCGTCTGCACAGAAAGACACATACTTTTCTCGCTTATAATAGGATAGGATAAGCCTAGAGCTAATGGGCTTTCCTGCTCCTCTTAAAAAATACGGCTCTCAAGCGCTTACTCAATGAAATTCAGATCCAGGCCATCAACTTGTATAAAGTTGAACACTTTTTCATAGTTTTTCCCGGCCTCCATAGATGGAACATCCAAAACGACATGGACGCCATAGTATTGGTTCGGAGTGACGCTGAAGTCCTAGAGAAAAAAATGGCCATATTTTTAAGAACCTTTAGATTACCGGTCCGTTGGTGACAATTTTATGGACAACGGTGCCGTTGTGCTTGGCGAGTAAGGCTGAATCTTTCTAAAAATCTTCTAATTCTGAAGCGCCACGGCCAAAATTTACCGTCACGGCATAATTCACTTTAGCCCCCGGTTTGTTGGCGATGCTGATGTGAATCCAGTCTTGGTAAGCTAAAAAAATCGACGCCTCGATGCATTAAAGGGGCTACGAAATGCCAAGAATTGAGTGACGGCCCGAAAACCGGAGCCCTGTACGTCGGAGGCCTCTGTACGCCCGGGAAACTCGCAAATTTGAAATTGCCTGTTATCACCTCGAAATCACGCTCTCGGCTGAATTTGATGATTAAAACACCAAAACAATTTAAAATTGAGTGAGGAATTCCAAAATGGGCTCAGAATTCGCAAATTATAGTGTTTTCACAAAGAAACCGGGCAAAAACAACTGCGCGCAAAAATCGAAAGAGGGAGGGCTCTTGTCCCGCAGCGCCCGTTGGCAATTTGCCAGAAATCAAAGAGCCCTCCCAAAAGGGCTTTCACTTGGCAGTTCGGAGCCCCTTTAATGATACGTAAACACTTACGGTTCGGCTCGTTTGGTTTCAAACTCCCGGATACGGTAGCCACCAGGCCGAACAAGGACAGAATTGACCTCATTTTGCTTGGTAAAACCTGATTTCGCCTATTTGCATCTCGCCTATTCCTATTTCGCCTTTTCTTATTTCGCCTACATCGTATTTCGCCTGCATCCTATTTCGCCTCGATCTGATCGCGCCTACCTTTCATTTCGCCTACGTTGCATATTGCCTGTTTTTGCTCATAAAGCTTTAGTAGAGCTTCGATATATGGTTTCTTCCATGATAAAAAGCTGGAGTGGCTTTTTAAATAAACACTGCGCTGAAACGCGCAGTGTTTGTCTTTTCCCCTGACAATTCCAAAGGTTTTTTGTTTTGTTTTTTTTTATGCTTCTTTTGCTCAAAAGGATTAAACTATCCATATTGGTGTACAACAGATACCTCGGTATAAAGCAGGGTAGTCTATAGATTGGATTCAGAAAAGTTAAAAAAACAGTCTGTTATCTTCAGCATGGTCAATACTATATACTGAGATATACTAAACTTGTTGCGCAAAAAAGGTAATATGCAAAATAGGCGAAATGAAAGGTAGGCGAGCTAGGATGTAGGCGAAATAAGATGTAGGCGAAATCATAGGAGGCGAGCAGGCAGTAGGCGAGATGCAAATAGACGGGGTGAAATGTAATCATTTTGCTCAGGTTGGAACGTTGTGTTGCAACCAACGTTCGGGCGATCGTTTATAGCAAATAATTGGAGCGAATGTGCCCTAATATTTTGATTGATAAACAATGAAGTAGCTGCTCCCCTGAGCCGAGGCCGCGCCCAAAAAAAAGATAGTTTTTGGGACGATGGGGCCAAGGCTATATTAAAGTTTGATCTGGGTTTTGTGCTTGACACTCAATACCACGTTTCAATTCAAGTAGAGGTATCGGATCGGAATGATAGTTAGACCAGTCGAAGGCCCTTGAAACGGCGAATTTCCAACAAGCTTCAAAGCAATTTTTTGCTTTAAACGCTCTATTTTACAAGTCAGCCTGCACAATTTGCGGTTTTTCAGGGTTGCTACGAGCTAATTTGCCTCAGCTCGCCCAAGTAAAATGGTCGTCATTTGTCGCCGCAGCGACCTCAAACCTCAATCGTACAGTCGGGGCCCGGGCAGGGGCTCCCCGACACTTGCGGCGCGGACACTAGCGGCGCGACACTTGCGGCGCGACATTTGCGGCGCGACACTTGCGGCGCGACACTTGCGGCCGACACTTGCGGCGCGGTCATTTGCGGCGCGACACTTGCGGCGCGACACTTGCGCCGACACTTGCGGCGTAGGATTCATTAATTTAAATGTTGTAAATTTAGCATTTCTTCACGGATTTTGTTCGTAATTGTTGGATTTGTGTTCAAAATTAGCAATTTAACCGACCCGCAGTCGGAACGCCCCTGAGGGCGTCAGGCAAGGCGGGCCGTCGCTTCGGATGGGCTGCCGCTCCACTCTTTCTAAATCGGGGCGCCTGGGCGCTTCGCGCTCCTCGGGCGCCCCGATTTAGAAACCCTGTACGAGCTCGCACCCATCCGAAGCGACTAGGCCCCGGATGGCACGAAGCCTTTTTCTAGTCGCAGAGCGGAGGAAGTAGCGGCCACTTTCCCTCGAAATTGAGTGACTTCGGTCGCAAACCCGACTTTTTATAATTTTTTAATGCCAAATTCGGATGCAGCTTATTAAATAACACCTTAAACTATTTTTATATAGCTCATACTAAATAACCGCAAGGTCGCGCCGCAAGTGTCGGGCGCAAGTGTCGCGCCGCAAATGTCGCGCCGCAAGTGTCGGGCGCAAGTGTCGCGCCGCAAGTGTCGCGCCGCAAGTGTCGCAGCCGCAAGTGTCGCGCCGCAAGTGTCGCGCCGCAAGTGTCCGCGCCGCAAGCGTCGCGGTACCCGGGCAGGGCCTCCGGCCCACCGTGGGAAAGAACTGTACGATATGGTAATGGCCGCCCCACGACTATAAAGCCTTTCCATGTTCTGAATAAACTGAGTGTCAACAATCCACCGAGGTCCTCCACAAGTCACCCAAAATGCACCGTATTCAAGTTGTCTAACATCTTATTTTTCCTATTTTCCCACATTCTGGCGACCACCGCGATACCTGCCTTCAATCGTCCTGTTACGCAAGTTTATTTTTGTTTCGTTTTCCGATTAAGGGGAAAACTGATACAAAACACGTGATTTCGCTCACCAAAGTTTTTTAATTGCCGAGTTTTCCCTTTATATTGTGTATTTCTGTTCTGTGGATTGTCTGTTCATAACTGTCGTCCTCCTTGTCTGTCCGTCAGTCCGAAATCATGTCAACTACCCAATGCGAGCGAGCGATATCGGAAATTATGCCTTTGGCCGACACGGAAGGCGATCTCATCGAGCAAAGGCTCTCAGCCCTCAAGCCGCCCAGTCAAATGTCTTATACGGAAATACGACGAGTCATCGAGGAACTCCAGTTGCACTACGCATCAATTACACAACTCCACCACCAGATTGACTCCTGCCTATCCGACTGGGTCACGGCTATTGATGTAACATCCCAGGCCACGCGTCAAATGCTCGAACTAGAATTCGAAGTGTATCACGTCTCGAAAGAACCGATGAACACCCTGGAACGCATCGAACTTCTATGCAGCCAGAGCGGTTAATTCGATGCAGTTCTGACGGTCTTTAATGCTGTTAAATGTGTTGTCAAACAGCGGCTTTAAATAAAAACAGGGTTTTGAAGATCGTTACAAACCCGCCGTTTCAAGGGCTTTCGAATGGTGTAACTATCATTCCGATCTGATACTTCCTCGTCGAGCCGGAAGAGGGGTGTTTTTTGTCGAGACGCCCTGTATGTATAAGCCCTGTATTGGTAAAATCAGCCCATTCTATTCATACCGGTGCCAGAAGACTGACAAGAAAAATGTGTCAGTGTTTATTTTGTAGATAACCGAAATGATTTATCAAAAATCCCATTTGTTTCATGCCTTGGCCGGGTAGGAGAGGCTGAAGGTGCGCGAGCGGTTAGCCTTTGGGGCTCCGATGAAGTAGAGGACAAAGTTCGTGTTCGTAGGCGCTTCGAGGGTGGGCCGAAGTCGATGTCGAGCTTGAGGCTGTAATGCGAGATATTCTCTCCCTCCCTCTCACTCCTTTAAAACCGCACTCGATGCGCTCGTTTGTCGCAAGATTCCTCAAATGCAGGTCGCCATCTGCCAGCGCTCCCTTGGCAGCGAACTGGCTGCCCTCCTTGTACACGTCCAACCCGAAGCTGAACACGTAGCGGTAGCCGTCCAGGTTCTCACAGGTTCAGGCTGTACATTAAAATTTTGCACAAACCTGTGGGTAAACCTTGTACTCATCACCGATGGGTGTCGTACCGTCCTTGCCGAAAGCGATGCCAGGCATGGTGATGATCCAGGCGGTGGAGGAGGACGTGGTATACCCTTACTACAAAAACATACGATCACCCTCCTGCTGTTTTCGTATCCTGGATGCGTTGAAGGTGGCCTTGAACTCGGGAGCCTTGTCGTTACACCTGAGATATTGTTATTTTTTTTGGCGATGCGAAAAGCCGTTTTTTTCGACACGCCCGCGAGAGGTAACGCGCGCAGCTACGCTCATTTCGAAAAAGCGCCTGCGCGCACGTTGCGTGTCGCGCGGGCTCCAAATCTCCTGGCAAAGTGGACTAAAAAGAACGAACGAACGGACTCAACGAACTCGCCGTAGTTCAGATGCCCTCCACGCATACTGTGCAGCTATTCGAAGCCAAAGAAGTCGTAGAATTTCCCCTGGACCATGGCGGTGAATTCGAGCACGACGTGGATACCAAAGGGGCCTAGGTTCCGGGTCTAGAAATTGGGGCAAACCTGGGTTTGGGTTAAGACATTCTGGTAAACTATAAGGACGGGGCCAGACTGGTGAACCAAAAAGGCAAAAATTACACGGAAATGGGCTTTTTCGTGTTTCAGGGCCTTATGACTCCGTTCAGCTGTTCGATTGGCAGATTTTGCAATCAGATATGGAATAAGATTAGCAATTATTAATTAAATTAAATTCTGCGGAAGATAGACTTCGTGCGGCAGCTAGATTTTGCCTTATCTTATTTTGTCGCCTCTTCTTACCGTAAATCGAAATTTGGGCTAAAAACCGGCCATCTTTGATCGAGAAAATCGAAATCGAAATGTGAAATTTTGAATACAATTTTGTAAAGTTTTCACAGTTAAGAATAGCAAAAATTCATTGAGAAGCACTTCCACTCTTTGTATTTGAGAAATTAGATTTTAGGGAAAAGTCGGTCTCGTCCCCCTTACCCCCACTCCCCCCCCCCCGATAATGTGAAAGAACCTGCTTGCCCTTTCTCCACCCTACAGCTTTTCCGGAGGTTTTGAACCCGCATGATCCTGGGCCCAAAAACGGCAAGTTGCAGCTTTATTGAGATCAAGCAAAAAATGCAAAAATGGGACCCGTTTAAACTTGTTCTTTCCTTCAGCACCGCTCAATCACATAACGATCGACGCCGGCAGCTATCATCCTCTTGTAAACAATCCGAATTTGTTGCCCATCGGCCCGGAGGTGATCTTCAAGTCGAGCATGGCCCGGGGGATAGGCGTTAATCTCAATGTATTCAATTTCCCGTTGTCCCTCCTTCCATTCAGCCACCCAACCGTCGATAATAGGCTGTATTTGCTCGCTATCGGATGATCTGACACGAATGTCGAAATTGGGGCACCGTAACTCTGGGGCCAATTCTAGATCGAAGTAATCCCGAAAGACACATCCATGTATGTTCGCGTTGGCGTATTGGATAAACCGCGACGTCAGGTTGTTAACGGCAACATCAACTCGTTGGTATTTTCCTGCGAGCGGCTTCACCATCTCCAATAGAGCGATCACACGGCTTTCGTGCATTGGAACGATAAAAATCACGTTGAGCGCCTTCATTCCGGGCGGAACGGACACCACTGGATCGTAGATGCAAATCCTTGCCACGGTAGATCCGGAAAAAAGTAATTCTTGGGAGCGGCGACTTTCCAACCGAATTATGTAGTAGAACACAGATACGAACACCGAGATCACGATGTCGTTTTGGCGGATGTCGACGGTTGAATCGACACGGTTGTCGGCTGAATCCTCCGTCATTTTCCACAAAATTCGATTTGCGCGCGCGTACCGGAATCGGGTTTTCGGATCCGCGCTGCCAATAAAATCGAGAAGCCGTCGATGGAAGGGAATGGGTAGATCGATAAACTCTATAGCCATGACCTAAAAAGTAGTAATTCGCAAAGAGTTTTAATCAGGTGGCTCAACAAAAAAAATTTGAGATGAAAAACATGGAGATATTTTGAGGCGCCGGCAATATTTTTCAACGGAAAACGGGTCTTTTTAATGGCAAAAAGCATAAAGTTAAAATTCATAATATCGACATTTAGAATTTCGAATTTTTTGGCATCAATCCGGGGTTTTTTAAGGAAAAATTAGATGCTGTAAATTTCGACATTATGATTTCCGAAATTTTGAAAGAAACCGCCCTAAAAAGTAATAATTCGTAAAGAGTTCGAATCGGTAAGTGAAGAGGTTAGAGGAAAAATATGGAGGTATTTTCAGGTAAAGGCGGCGTTTTGCAACGAGGGACAGCTCACTGGAAATAGCCTAAGCTCGTGTAATACAAAATTTTGTTCAACCCGGCGCGAAAAATGGAAAACCAGCGTCTTTAGGGCTAATTCTCAAAATATGGCACTAGTTTCGCATCGTTGCTCGTACTTTCAGGCTTTGATAAGTTAGTTAAGGCAAATTACAGGAAAATAACGGAGCCAATGAGCCGGAAATGCTAGTGCTTTTGCTGCCCCTGGCCAATTTTTTCAGGGATCGATTAGGCCATGTATTTTGGCCGGCGGCGTAGTTCATACGCGTTCCACGGCTCTAGGAAGAAAGAAAAGACACCTAGAAATAACGGGAAAATGACCAAACGTGCAAAATTTATACAGTAAATTAATGCTTCGGCTTTCAACCAAATGCAATAACCTCGTTCTTGACTGAGCTACTTTCTTCCAAACGGACTTTTTCGCTAAAGAAGCATCGAGGCTCATGGAATGTCAACCAATGCCCTCCCGGGTTCAAGTTGATCAAGATCTGAACATGACATTCACGGGAGGTTTAACCTTGAATGTTTTTTGTTGTCTGGAATACTGTTTATATGACGCATAAAATGCGATAAGTTACAAAGTACTCCGTAAAAAAATATTTTACTGTTTTCGTTGCGTCTTTAGCATAAATACCGAAAGATTTAGAACCTTAGCAACTAGAAAATATTGCCAGTGTAAAATTCAACGAAGCGAGGATACAATAGATAGAAAACGGTAATCGAGGTAAAAAATAATAAATTCTGTGATAGTGGCAAGAAGCATAAGAGAAATTTGGTAAAAAAACACCCTTTCTAACTCGACGCAGAAGTATCGAAGCGAATGATAGTTATACCATTCGAAAGCCCTTTAAACGGCGAGTTTGCAACAACCTTCAAAATCACGTTTTGATTTAAGCGAACCATTTAATTGCAAATTTAAAAAATTAAAGAACGTCCTCTACATCCAATTGAAGCCACTGTCGGTCAATTTGTTTGGAGAAATTGTGGCAAATTAGCTCAGATGCAACCCTGGAAAACTGGCAAATTTTACAAACTGGCTCCAAAGAACGGGTTTTATAAAAAATATGGTTTTGAAAGTTGTTGCCGACTCGCTTTCGAATGGGGTAACTACCATTCCGATCCGATACCTCTGCGTCGAGTTAGAGGGGGTATTTTTTATTGGGACACTCTGTAGTAAAGCTGGCAGGTGTCTATCGTTGAATTTGTCAAATGATGATACCGACCACAGCATTTAAGCTATGCCGAAAGTAAACATGAATTTTGCGGCCATCGGCTCGGGATATCTTTTCCGGCAAACGCCGCCTTTCTCGAAAGTGTGCCGGGATACGAATGCGACCCCCGGGTAGATGGATAGCCGCCGGATCCGTATAAAACTCGTGCCAGATGCGCTCAACGTACGCGCGTGAATCAATAGTTATCTTGCCAATATTTCGAAGCCCTGCCTTCCATTGTGCGAGCAATTCGTCGAACAGCCGCTCAATCTGTTGATCGGCTGGCACGTCGATGTCCATCGTAAAGTTGGGACATTTGAGTTGGAGCATGAGCTGGGCGTCCACGGTCCCCTTCAAGGTAAGCGAATAGACGTTGGCGCTGGCATATTTAATTAGCTCCGCCGCTGTGCCCTTGTTGCGAGTGATCTCACATGAAACGTGGCGGTACTTTCGAGCTTCTGGCTGCATACCCTTCAAGATCCCGATCATATAAGTATCGTCTATGGGCGACATTATCGATATATTCCAGGCCTTCATAGACCGGAATCGAAGGTCGATCGTAGATCACTACTTCGCCGACAGTGATCCCAGCAAACAGTAATTGTCGGGCCCGAAGGCTTTTCAGGCAGAAGGCACTACCCCCGCTTTTCCCGAACCAGGTCATGGTATCGGAGCAAAGCTCGACCCTGCAGTCCATCCGGCCGACGGTGAATTCCTCGGTTGTTCTCCAGAGAACTCGACTTGCACGTGCGTAGCGGAATCGTGTCTTCTGGTCGGTGGTGCTCATAAAATTCATCAGGCGTCGGTG